AAGTCGGGTGTGTATGTTGCTGCTGTATTGTGTTAGATGCGTCGGTGTTTGAGTTTGTTGGTCGGATTAGTGAATAGGAGCACCATGGTGGCTACCGTCCATAATATTTTTCTGCCACCATATGTGGGTGGTTGTGTGTGTTACATGGTGTGTGTGTGTGTTTCCTTTTAGATAAAATGTTGTGTGGGTGTTCTTGGCCGGAGAAAAATCAAAGAAATCCCGCCACCACCATCGTGAGGTGGTGGCTGCCGCCATGAACCGTCGTCGACCACCACCGCCCGAGGTGGCGGTAGGTGGTGCCTGACTTGGTGAAACCCTAATCAGCCTAAAACTTAACCTTTGGACCTAATTGGCATGTGTTTGGGTTGGAAACCCTAATTAGGGTTTAGAAAACCCTAATCTTGGAGACTTTTGCTTTGGACCTGCCGGGGCCCGCATTTTGGACCGTTAGATTCGAATTATGAGTGATGCCCGACCACGTTGAATGATTGACCTAGTAGAGTGATGGGCTTAATGTATTAATTCATTAATGGGTTAAGTGTCCTTACTTAACCCTAATCGTCATTTTATGTGAAACCCTAATTGTGTTTGGGCTTCGAGTTGGGCCTTTCTTTTGGGCTTAGGTGTTTGGGTTCTTGTTGGGGCATCTGAGAGCAAGTGTATGGACTAGGAAATTTAAATGGGCTTTTGGGTAAGGCCCATGTAAGGGGTTTGGGCCCAATTTGGAAAATTGGGCCTTGATTGATTATTTGGCTTTTAGGCCTCCAGAGTTTGAGTTTGGGCCTTGGTCTTGGACCAAGCTAGGTTAGGGGGTAAAATAGTCTTTTACCCCATGTATGGATTTATGGTTATGCATTGGCACCCAATTGTTAATTGGGTGTTGTTTGGATGTTTGACAGTTCGGGGATCTATCAGCCAGCAGTCGGGGTTATCTGTGTGATTCGGCAGTGTGATGTAAGTCTTCTCACTATATCCATGGGTCGAAGGCACCAATGTCGGCCCATTACTTGTTATGTGGAATGCTAGTTGTCTATGTGATGATTGAATGAAAGACCATAGGGGAGCCCATGACATTTGGATATAAGACCATGGGGGGTGTCCATGACATTTGGATATAAGACCATGGGGGTGCCCATGGAATTTGGATATAAGACCATGGGGGAGCCCATGACATTCCTGGTAAAGACCATGGGGGGAAGACCATGGCAACTATAACTCTATAAGTATGTTGCATGATATTATGTGCATTGTATTCTATGAATGATATTTTGTGAATGATATTTTGTGGATGATATTTTGTGGTTGTATGCTATGTGGTATTATGGAGAACTCATTAAGCTTTGTGCTTACGGTTTTCAGTTTATTGTTTCAGGTACTCTGCTTTTCAAATGGAATGGCTCGGGTTGATTGTAGAGCACACACCATATGTTTCTGTTTTTTGTGAATTACTCTAATTGGTCAATGTTTTGTTAAAACTTAATTACCCTAGTTTTTGTGGGAAAGACATGTATTAACGATCTATAAATCTAACAACAAAAATTTTTATATTATGATTTTTGGGGTCTTACAGTAACATAATGTACACGACAATTTTCTCCATACATAACAATTTGTGCTTTAAAGTGTTGTATTATACAATTTTATAAAGCATAAATTGTTGTATATGTAAAAAGTTATTATATACGAATCACTTCCCTAACAAAAACATAATGGTCTTGAATCCATAGAATTTGGGATTTCCATAAGCCTGTACAAATGATACCGAATTAACTTCAAAGAGAATCGTCCTTCACCTACAAGACATTTATAAGATTCATGTCAATTTAATTAAGTTATTTGTTAGTTCTTTATTACCTTGTTAATTCTTTAATATCATGGACGTTTCCGTGAATACCGCTTCCCCCCTTCTTACACTGCATAAACCCGCCTTCCACAATGAGACTTCATTGCATCTCATGTCCTCTTTTTTCTCGATCACAAAAGAAGGAAACGTCGCTGTAACTTGAAAAGTTGAAATGGGTAATAATCTTTGACCATTCGACTTTTTTAGTTAATTGGAGTTATGTTTTTGCTACATAGTTTATATATTACGGGCCTAGACTTTGTTTTAATTTGATATTACTTAATGGGCTAAGAGTTAGAGTTTCTTGGTTAATATAAAGAAAAATAAAATGGTTGAAAACTTGATTCTTTGTATATATTCTTTAAATGGTTGGCTTAATTTGGAGAGCAATTGATTTTTAATGGGGTTTTAATCAACATATATGATTTAAGTTCATAAAATAGTCAAATTTTAAAATCAAATGAATTTGTGACATAAAATAGAACCGAATAAGAATTTAACCCATAAGATAATATTTTATAAATAAAAATATCATGCGGTAAATATTTGTATTAAAGAAGATTTGGTATAAAAAGTATAGTTTTTATTTTTATTTTTATTTGGTAAGATATACATTGCACTAATTACTTTAAGTTGCATGAAAAATATTAAGTAAAATGGCAAATACCATAAAATCACTAAGTTTATACGAAAATTTGAGTTTGACGTAATGTTATTTTTTGTCTCAAATTGGACATTACCTTTCCAATTTGTTACAATTCTGACAACTTGACTGGTTAAACCGGTTGCACGCTGCTGTGTCACTTTTTGATGATATGATATGTTGAAGTGTCAAATTGAAAAAAATAAAAAATGCACAAACAATATTAAGTTTGCACTTTTTCAATTTTAACACTAAGTTTTTTTTTCCATACATTTTTGTTCCAAATAAAACATCATTTTTTCAATTTTGTTAAATTTTGAATTTTCGTATAAATTTAGTGAGTTTTTGGCTGATACGACTCGCTGATTAGGTTACGATTATCGACTAATTAGTTCTTATTTAATTATTTATTCAAATTAGGTAGTAGTTATCTTTATTTAAAATTAGGATATATACATATTAGTGACTTTTAAATCAGGATATGATTATCTATTAACACTTATATATAGGGTTTCAGTATGTCCTTTTTGATTATGATAGAATAAGAATTATAGAGTTTTCACTCTGTTTTAGAGAATTTATGTGTCTCGAATAATAGGTATTATCAATTAGTATCAAAGCAATAATCCTGACAACAAAACTATTCATCATAATTACTATTCACGTCAGCATTGTTCACGTCGATATTGTTCATCAGACTACTATTCACGACAACATTGTTCACACGGTTTACTATTCACGCGTCACTGATCATATGATTTGATTCAGGTATCAGGATGTCCAAGGAAAACAACACAACTAGAATCGCCAATATGCAGGTAGGTGTGGTGAAAATCCATGAGGAAGCTGAGATTACTCGGAAGGAGAACTCCTTAAGGTTCAGAGAAATCATGAAAGCTATCACTGACTTATCGTTAAGTTAGGAGTTAAGTTAGGAAGCTTGAGCAAAAAGGAAGAGGAAAAGAATGTGGATTCCAAGGGGGATCCTTCGACTCTGATGAGGAAAGTGAGACATACGGGAAAGAGAAAAGTAAGGGCGTGGAAGAAGAAGAAGAGGGAAACAAGGGAAAACCTAGAAGTGATTTCCAACAGGATGACTTTCGGAAGATCAAGATACCCATATTCGATGGGGGAAGACTCCCACTGTTGGATCTACCAGGTGGAACACTACTATGAGATCCACGGTATTGAATAGGGATGAGCAAACGGACCGGGGAACCGGCCGGAACCGGTCCCGGAACCGAAACTGGTACCGGAACCGGGACCCGATGGAACCGGTCGGGCCGGGACCGGTACTATAATTTTGTGAATTTTTGGAACCGGGACCCGGTAAGAACCGGTCGTTGGAACCGGCCCAAAACTGGGAACCGAACCGGATAGTCTTTACAAAAAACCCCATGCCTTTGTCGCTTGGACTTCTACTTTGGACGTAAAAAAAAACGATCGTGAAACAATAACCTACTGAAGCACGACTCGGCGACTCCAAGTCACGAAGATACGAACCCTACCAGCGACCACAGGCTACCATCGATCATCCCTTGTACCCTACTTGTACGATTCCAAGCATCTCCAAGTTTCAATCGATCTTCATCATCATTCATCAATTTTCACCTTCTCAATTCTTGAGTCGACATCTTCATATTTTGCTTCAATGATTCGTTAAACTAACACCAATATCAATATATCACGTTTAGATCATTTAAAATCAAGAAAATTAAAAGTAACCATTACATTTGAACGCGTATAATGCACTGCTTATAAATATCATATCCTAAATACACCAAAGAGTTATATGGAGTAATGGCGTGGGAAAGGAACTGGAGTAATGGTGTGGGAAAGGAACTGGTCTTATGGAATCATAAAAAGCCAATTGTTAAGCCAAACATGAATGCCAACTTTCATGTACGTTATTTCAATATTATAATAGTGCATGGGCCATGTTCTTGATAGAAGCAATTCAGCCTTATAATAACTAAAGTTAAAATATGCAGGCAAGCCGTTATTCTTTATGTATGTATGTATATATATATATATATATATATATATATATATATATATATATATATATATATATATATATATATATATATATATAAGTAACATAACAATTTTGCATTCATGTTATTGATCTTCGAGCTTATAATCACATTCAATAACCGGGCATAAACCGAAACCATAACCCCAAAATACGTTGCTATTTCTCGAAGACCGGTTCCGAAATCGAAAAACCGGCAAAAACCGGACCCGGTAGAACCGCCGGGCCGGTTCGGTTCTTGATTTTGGCCGAAGCCGGTTCCCGGTTCAGGTCCGGGTCGGGCCGGTTCCGGCCGGTTTGGTCCTTTTGCTCATCCCTAGTATTGAAGGCACAAAAAAACTCAAGACAGTTGCCTTATGCATGGAAGGAGTGACACTAGCTTGGTATAGATGGGATGAAAATTAAACACCTTTCCGGACTTAGGCGACACAAAGACTTTAGCAAGATTTCAACCCCTATATGAGGGGACCTACAAAAATATGGTGGGTCGTCTGGGCGAATTTACAAAACAAGTCCTGGAAGGAACATTCATCAAAGGGCTAAAATCGAAACTCAGATCATCAGTAGCGGTCATGCAACCCAAGGGTCTGATTCACACAATGAGATTAGTGGTTATGATCAATGAAAATCGAGCTCACGAGGATGAGATAGAAAAATATGGGGAATTAGGAGACGATCCACAATTCAGCAAGATCCAGTTGCAGAAACTAGATTTCTACCTTGAGGGCAAGGTGTTTGTTTGGGAGGGGAGTAATGATACGACTCTCCGATTAGGTCAAGATTATCGACTAATTAGTTTTTATTTAATTATCTATTCAAATTAGCTAGTAGTTATATTTATTTAAAATTAGAATATCTATTAGTATCTTTTAAATTATGATATGATTATCTATTAACACTTATATATAGGTTTCAATATGTCTTTTTGATTATGATGGAATAAGAATTATAGAGTTTTCACTCTGTTTTGGAGAATCTCTATGTCTCGAATAACAAGTCTTATCAGTGACATTTACCTTAATTCAAAATTGAAAAATAAGAAACATATTTGTCGTTAGACGTAAGGCTGATAGATGTCATACCATATTTCTACATCGTCACGTCATTTTTCCCTCACCCCACAAAACTGATGGGTCTCATATCATACCTTACCACATTTTTATTTAATTTTAAATATATATAAATAATATATCAATATTATACTTTATTTATAGAAAATTAAAAGCTATGAATTTTAATATAATTTTATTATATATATATATATATATATATATATATATATATATATATATATATATATATATATATATATATATAGATATAGAGAGAGAGAGAGAGAGAGAGAGGATCAAATGAGAACACCTAAAAGGTTGAGAACGCGAGAACAATTGTAGACCAATCATTTCATAGGGGCATAAAAGGAATTTTACAATATAATTAAATATGAATAATTAATTAATTCCTACAATCATGGGATGTTGTCTAACTGATTGATATTTTACCCAGATACCAGAAATGAATTTAATCTATTTTTAAACAAATAGATTTCGAAAAAAAAAAACTTTTTACCATGATTAAAAAACGTTTTTTTTTTAAATTTTTTTTACCGGTATATCAAAAAGATTGATTTTACCATGATTAAAAAAAAATTTAAAAAAATTTACCAGTATTTCAAAAAGATTGATGAATTAATCATTTCAACCGTATATTTGTAATCATACAAAAATAAAACATATTTGTAATCAAATATGAATCTGTTGTAATCGTAAATGAATAAATGAATTAAGTTATAATAATAAGAATTAACATTAAATTAACCAAATGTGTGCCATGATAGACATAAATATTGTTCATGATTAAAAAAAAGTAATATAATCATAATCATAAATAAATAAACCTTAATGTAGACAGTGCAATTGTAATTATAAATGAAAAGTACAATGGTAAAATAGAAAAAAATATCGTTATAACATCTGGAGATGACCATCTAAACCAGTGTCATACTGTCATGTTACAATAAAAAACACACCAACGATTTTCACGGTCCCTTTTTTTCGCGTCCAAGCTTTTGACTTAAAATGTATTGCTCTTGCGTTCAATCTTTTGACTTGAAACGGATTGCCTTTATATGAACTTGAGCTCTTTTGTTGTTACGAAACCTACAAAAATTAAAACATAAATGCAAGTTAGAATAGCAAATATATAAACTCAATACTTGTAATCATGTATGATTAAGCATAAGAAATAAATTTAATACTTCTAATCATGAATGATTAATCATAATAAATAAATTCAATACGTATAGTCATAAATGATTAAGCATTTCAGAAATCATTATGAGAAATTCATAATCACCATAGAAACAAAAAAACAAGATATCTAAGAATTTTAGAAAATTAATCGCTAATAATTTCATCATCTTTCATCTCTTAATATTTATAAGATATTAAATAAATCATCATATAATCTTGGTCATTATAATTATTTCAATAGCTGTAACCTATATAGATTTTTCTAAATTGCAGTGGTCCAACTTTTTTTAAATATATACAATATGAAATCATTTAAGAACCTAATGCTAGCATTCCAACATTTATCATTATAATTATATTTTATTCAACAATTGTCTAATCACTAATTCTTTCTTCTGTTCTAATATTATAGGCAGTAAAGGAAAAATGGAAGTTTACCTCATTGGAAGGAGAATCACGCAACCACAGACCATATTTCCTTCTTACTCTTTTTATCTTCCTTTGACTTTGACTTGTCGATCATCTAGCAACCACTCTAAGAGGTTCACATGTCTGAACATCATACGCACCTCAAGTAATCTCAAGAAAAATAGAGACCCGTCCAATCTTGAATGGAATCGAGTTTGTAGGTCCAAAGAAAACTGTTGAACGAGGATTGAGTTACACGAGATCGACTTCCAGATCTTGAAATTGAGTTGTAAGTTTTGTTGGAAACATCAATGAAAATCTTGTAAAAAAAGGGTGAGAAATATCAAAGAGATTCATTGCTTTAATCACGGTGATAGCCCCGTCATCGACTGTGTATGAAATCAGCAAAGAAAAGATTTTACATAATTATGAAATCAGTTTCTAGAAAAGAAATTAACAAAGACATCACATTCAAATAATGGCAAAGTAATCGAAACATACCTGAGTCATCGCTGCCTTGTTGTGCGGGAGTAGAGGCGAATTTGCACCGGTGAGTAGAAATCAATGGGACCACCCACGAAGTAGCGAGCAGGGGAACCGATCTTCGGAGGCGTGTACAAGACGAGTGGAGTCGACTGTGAAATGTGAGAAGAAGGTTTTTAAGAAGGAGGCAGCATTATTATGAAACCCTAGATAGGGGGAATATAAAAACGAGAAATGCAAGGAAAGAGGTGAGAGAGTGAGAAATTATAGGAAATAGGTAAAATTGCAATTCCTATTATGCTCTTCTGACCATTTAAATGTTACACTTTAATGCCAACAATTTTAGAATTTTTCATAAATCACCCCTTGAATAATAACCTTAGATTTAAATATTTAAATGATCCAGATCTGTTCTCGCGTTCTCAACCTTTTAGGTGTTCTCATTTGATCATACTCCTATATATATATATATATATATATATATATATATATAATTTAATAATAATTAAAAAAAAATGTGGCAAAAATAAGACATACTCAAGCGGGTGGCGTTATTCACACCCAAAATAACACTCCCTATTTTAGAAGTCAAGTATAGGTTAGACGTCATTAATAGTTTAAATGTTTAATACGAACACCCTTCTTTTACATAAACTATGGTCCCTAATGTTATATACTACTATAAAACAAAATTTACGTGCATAGTCCTTCATTTTATTTATTGTTTCTTATTCTACTATTTTATATTATTTAATATAAATTATACATCCTTTATTTTACATATTATGTTTAATATATATTACATATTTCTAGTTATGAAAATAATAGTCATATATTAATATAAAAAAAGCGGTGATTTATAGGCTATTTTCTCCGCAATTATTTAGGTGTTTTGGACATATGACCTTATTTTTTTATTTTGTTCGGGGTCTCAAATCATCTTGAGTCGGCCTTGTTGGTGATTTGTTTCACTAATGTGATTTAAGTGTAATGTGATTACTTTGTTGACCATAAGTGATCTTGATAAATATTAAACAAGTAAGGATGGTGTACCACCCAAAGATTAGGAGTAACACCCAATACTTTGATTTGATAGTGAAATCACAATTTTCAGAATGTCCAAGTACCTTTATTACCCTGAAATTCTAACAGTCCTTAAGTTTAGGTTATTCACTTTGGTGTTTGTCCCCAAACTGACTGCTAACTGAATTGTATTAACTTTCGATTAGGTGGTTATCATTTTATTCGTGTTCAAAAGGATAGGCATTGGTGAAATTCATTGGTATATGACGTATTGATGATCTTAGTTGACGTAATATAATTTGGCATATGTTTAGATTGATTTACAAAATGTTGATCAATGAAAATAATGTTGTTTTTTAATATGATAATTTAATAAATCTTGTTAATATTTCTATCTTTTTGTTTTATTTTTATTATATTTGTGATTTCGTTTGTTCCGTACATACAAAATTATAAAACAATACAATTTATAATAAAATAAAAAGTAAATAACATGAACCGTCTTTCGTACATGTGCTAAAATGAATATCTAGTTTATATATATATATATATATATATATATATATATACCAGTGTTGCAAATATCGGCCTAAGCGGCCGATTAATCGGCGCTTGGCGGTCCTCGACTGTCGACATTTATAGCTAATCGGGCTATATAATCGGACGTGGTCAAAGTCGGTCAAAAACGGGTCTAGGTGGGTCTAGGCGCCCAAATCGGTCAACGAAAGTCAGCGCAATTTTAAAAAAATTTTAAGGGAAAAATTGTCAAAATGTAAGAAATGCTTCTAGGGTTGCATCCGTTTTCTCATTCGATGCAGTAAAAAAAATCGCATTCTCTCTGCCTCTCTGAACCACGAACGAGAACGAACAAGGGAAATCGATCACATCTTCTTCTTCCGTTCACCTTCGACGGTCTCACGCCCGTTTTTAGCTCTGGCCCGCGATTTGTCATCTCCTTCAAGCAACGACGTGCGGTCTCCTTCCAAGCTTCAGTTCACGAAGTTTCTGGGCTCATGAAGTTTAAAGATTGCAGTTCTTGAAGTTTATCGGTTCCAAAATCAACTATTCTTCCGACTTCAGCTCCTCTCGTCGACACTAATTGATTTATCCAGGTTCGTTTTTACTTCTAACTCTTCTTCCGACTTCAACTCTTCTTCCGACTTCTCTGTGACAGCTTCTTCTATTAACAACAAGCAATTTATCTGTTAACACTTAACAACAAGCAATTTATCAGCTGGTTAACACTTAACACTAATTAAGTCTCAGTTATTTATCGGTAGCATGTTTATTGACCATGGGAAATCGATTTGAGATTAGGAAAATAGAATAGCTTTCCAATGATATTATGCGGATATTTATCTGTACAGAGCAAAAAGATGAAGACTTGGGGTCTCTGTGACAGCTTCTTAACATGAAATCTATTAACAACTTGTTCTGTGACAGCTTGGGGTATATGAAGTCTTCTCTGTCACAGCTTCTGTCAAGTAGTTTTTTTTTTTTTTTGAAATCTGTTAATAGCTTCTTCTGTTAAGAAATTTGGTATTGGTTAATTGAACATTTGTTGAAACTGTTTAACATAAAATCTATTAAGAAACTGTTTAACATAAAATTTGTTAAGAAATTTGGTATTGGTTAATCTGTTAACAACACTTTAGCATTAAGGCATTAGCATGAATCTATAAGTTGTTTGGTTGATTGATAATCATTTTGTCAAGCATTTATATTATATTTTTTAAGGTGTTAATTTTTTAATGTGTTAATGTGATGATTTAACAGTTAACAATCAATGACTTCGAATGCTTCGACTACACCTTCTGTGGGATCAACCGCCATCGATGCACATAAATGGAAGTCGGATGATGTTGGTTGGGAATATGGTTTTATCCCGGATAAAAGCAACTTGGATAGATTGAAATGTAAATTGTGGAAAAGTGTTTGGTGGAGGGATTACTAGAATGAAACAACATATTGCTTATGTGAAGGGGAATGAATCTTCATGTCCAAGTTCTACAAAAGATGATCAATTGAAATGTCGAAATTCTATTAATGAAGGGAAGTTAAAAAAGAAAGCTAAACATTCGCAAGATGAAGCCTTAAGATTTGAGGTGAGACAAGAATTTCATGATAGCGTGGATGGAGTTGAATCTTCTTTGGGGTTGAAAGCACCAAATGTTATAGGCCCCATGGATGGCTATGCAAACAAAATAAACCCCGGAGAAGATTTGAATGCGAGAAAGGGAAAAAATGTTGATATTAACAATATTGTCCGGAAAGAAAGAATACTCACGGTCCATAAATACATTAGTAGGTGGGCATATGAAAGTGCAATTCCTTTTCATGCCTTTGAAAGGGATAGCTTCAAAATGATGTTGGAGGTTGTTGGCCAATTTGGGACTGGGCTTCCACCTCCTACTAGATATGCTTTGAGTGACACGCTTCTAAAGCATGAGGTTGAATTAACAAAAAACTTGTTGAAAAAAAAAACGAACAAGAATGGAAAGAGGATGGATGCTCGATTATGACGGATGCTTGGTCTGATCGAAAGAGAAGGAGCATTATGAATTTATGTGTTAATTCGAAGATGGGTACTGTTTTTTATCTTCAAAAGAATGTTCCAATGAAGCACAAACAAGCCAAAAAATATATGAATATGTGGAGTCTTGCATTCAACAAGTTGGTCATGAGCATGTTGTTCAAGTTGTGACTGATAATGCCACGAATAACATGGGGCGACAAAGTTGCTAAAAGAGAAAAGACCATCTATTTTTTGGACATCATGTGCGACACATACCATTAACCTTATGCTTGAAGGTACTTACATTATTTTGTTTATTTATTGTATTTATTGTATTTATTACTTTATTTTGTTTTAAAATGTTTAATTTTATACTATAATTTGTTATTTAATCGTGTTTATTTCTTCAAGGTATCGGTGCACTTCCAAGGTTTGAGAAAATTCTAGATCAAGCAAAGAAGCTAACCATCTTCATTTACGCTCACCACAAAACCTTAGCAATGATGAGAAGTTACACAAACAAAAGAGAAATTATCCGACCGGGAGTCACGAGATTTGCTTCCGCCTTTCTAACATTACAAAGTTTGGCCGAAAAAAAGGAGCAACTAAGACATATGTTCTCTAGCACCGAATGGGAGGAATGTAAATTTTCTAGTACACCTAAAGGGAACGCCTCATATAAAACGGTGTCAAGTGTCCAATTTTGGTCCGGTGTGGCTCAATTTTTAAAGGTGTTCTCCCCTTTGGTGAAAGTCCTTCGAATGGTTGATGCGGATTGGAAGCCCTCAATGGGTTTTGTTTACGGGGAGATTAAAGTTGCTAAAGAAGAAATTATCACATCATTGGGTGGAAACGAGAAAGCTTACAAACCTATTATAGATATCATAAACAAAAAGATGAAAGGTCGTCTAGATTCAAGTTTACATTTAACATCTTATCTTTTAAATTCGTATTATCATTATAAAGATCCACAACTCCAATATGATCCCGATATAATGAATGCGGTTCTTGATTTTTTTGATACATTACTTTGTGACAATTTTGAGATGCAAAGGCAAGTTGTAACAATTGACTTGCCAAAGTACAAGAAAAAAGTTGATAGATTTGGTTGCGATCTTGCAATTAAAAATTGTAGGGTGAATGATGCCGAGTTTGATCCGGGTAATTCATTTTACTTTTAGTTATCTATTTTAGTATTTTATAAAATTTTGATATTTATCGATTAATAATGTGTTTTTGTTTAAAAAATTGTAGCTATTTGGTGGGGACTATTTGGTGGCACAACTCCTCATTTGACAAAGATTGCAATGAGGATTCTTTCTTTAACTAGTAGTTCATCGGGTTGTGAAAGGAATTGGAGCACGTTTTGGGTGATAATTTATTGTGTTTATTAAACTTGTTATTAAACTTTTATGATTATTTACTTATATTATTATGATTAAATTTAGATTTATTAATTTTTGAATAATTTTCTTAATAATTAATGGTCTCCGATTAATCCCCCGATTAATCCCCGCCTAGCCGATTAATCTCATGACTCTAGTCCACCGTCGAGCTACCGTCAAGCGATTTTTACAACCTTAATATATACCATAAACTAAAAGGGGTTAAAATGAAAATATAATATTCTAATGGGTAAAATATTTGAACTCTCCAAGTAGTCAAACAGCATATCAATAGGGTCATTGTAACGCCCACAGATTCGGGCTAGTCAATTTAGAGACAATAAGCGTCAAAAATGACTTTTTGATAGAAGATTATTTAGAATAAATAATCTTAAATAAGCTATAGTATATGTCACAAAGGTTCCATACATATAAAGAACGTTGAAATCTGAGTTATAACGAAGAAGTTATGACATGTCGAAGTTTTACGGCAAAACCGGCACGACACCGGGAATCGTAAAAAGTGAGTTTGCGATAAAATACTTTTTAGCTTTAGCGATCTAAGCGAAATCCATAGTATACGTTAAACCGAAAACGTGCATAAAAAGAACGTCCAAATCTGACTTCGTATGAGAAAATTATGATTTTTCTAAGATTTAGTATAACAGTACACAACCCGGAAATCGAATTTTAGATCGATCAATTTTTAGCCGACACAACCTAAATGAGAATTTAATATCTCATTAATAGGAGCTCAACAATATAAAGACAGTCGAAAACGGACGTCGGATGAAAAAGTTATGAATTTTTAACGGATATTAACTATCTAAGTCTGTTAAAATATAACTTTAAAATAAATTCAAAATTAGCCGACAGAGTCTAAATGAAAGTTTTAGATCCCGTCGATAAATACGCGTGGATATAAAGAACGTCAAAAACGGAGCTCGTATGCGAAAGTTACGAATTTTAGAAGATAATTGATTTTGGGCTTAATCTGCGAGTGACACGTGGCGCGATCTGAGCCACTGCTTGTTCCCCACGCCTTGCCACCAGATGGTGACACGTGGCATGGGAACGCTCAATGTTCAGCAAGGGAATGCCCCACGTTCGAACCAGACTCAACCTATAAATAGAGGCGCAAATCACCCCAAAAACTCACACATTTCACATTCTTTCTCTCTCAAACACCCCTATTAGCCCCTCCCATTCCCTAGCACTTCCCGAGTGCTAGAGGCGAGTTCCAGAGCGCCAGAAGGCTCCGAGAAGAAGAGCTTTCGGCTCGGAAGTTCTGCCCCCGCAGAGCCCGGTTCCTAGCCAAACCTCCTAGTAAGTGAGTTATGCCTACCCTATTTTAAGTATAGCTTATGCTAAGTTCAATATCGTTATTATGAAGTTATAAACTATATATATATATATATATATATATATATATATATATATATATATATATATATATATATATATATTGTAAAATATAATATACAAAGTGTTATTATAATATCTTTTAACTACTCGCGGTACGGAGAATCTGATTTGAAGGGCCGCATAGGGTTGTTGGATTTCAGAAGTGCTATAATGCCAAAATGGTCCTGCCCTCCGGTGTTTCATGTCTGACCCCTTTCTGTACATAGTAGTTGAAAAGTATTGTTTAACACTTATAAAACAATATAGCTCGTACAGCTAATAATTAGTCGCAATAAATATTAAAATAAAATCTAATGGTAATGATACTAGGTTTCATCGAAGTAAAATAAAATTGTTAGAAGCGAAGTGCTGCTCGAGTTTGGAATCATCACTTTAACAAGTGAGTGCATAATTACTTTCATCTTACACATATATATGAAGTATTTAATATAAATTACGTGATATGTGTACATATTATCTGTGTTCTTGACATCTATGCTGGATGAACCGAATATACATGTTTTATTTGATTTAAATTGTATACGTATTTTATACCTATAAAAATATTGGGTAAAGATGGGTAGATGAATGATGAGAGATGAAAGATGATATAGACGAACATTGGTAGCTGCTCCACAACCTTGTAACATCCGAATTCCCAGGTATAATATTTTATTATTTAATTTGAGATTTGTGGAGTGACTCGACGAGTTGGTGCCTCAACTCGTCGAGTAGAATCGTGACTAGTGACGTAGATTAATGAATGGACTCGACGAGTCTGTGAGGCGACTCGCCGAGTCAGCGCTGCTGAAGGAAACCCTAAATTATCGGGCTTGCGGCCTATTTAAGGGCACTTATATCCTCCATTTCGTCTCACCAGAACCCTTACACCCTTGAGAGAAACCCTAACGTCCATAGTGAGCTAGAGTGGTGAGGATAGCTAATCTTGTGTTCATTTTGGCTCATTTCCTTGAAGAGGAAGGAAGGTTCATCAAGGATCAAGAATGGAGGGCCAGTAGACCTGTCTCTTCTTCATCTCAAGCTTCAGATCAAGGTAAAAAGCTTTTACCTTAATTGTAGGATGATTAGATCTCATGTTCTTGAGATTTAGGGCTTGTAACACCTTCTTGATGGGGCTATGGATCAAGCCCCTTTTCGAGTTTAGACTTCAGATCTGGACCTTGTGAGGTCCAGAGAGTCCAAAAGTTTAGATCCTTAGTCAATCAACCAAGGGGTTTTGTGTTTTGGAAGCATTAATGGAGTAGTGATGGCATATAGAGCAATATATGACATGCATGGTCATCAAGATCAAACATTTACGTGACTTTTGGGTATTAGGAGGTTAGATCTAGAGGTTGGAGTTGCATATCTAACCTCAGGTGCCCAAATGAGAAATTCGAATGAGTCAACTCGCCGAGTCTATGAGATGACTCGACGAGTCGGATCGGGTTGCCCCAGCGTTCTGGACCTAGTGAT